GTGTATGAATATATGTATAAACTGAGGAGGAATATATTGACCAAAGACTAAAGTATTTACTAAAAGCAAGGCAAGACATGTTTGATATGTTCTCGCTAAAGTCAGCAATGATCACCGCCTCTGTTTTTTCGGCAGAAGGCCCGAACCTTCTGTCTTTTCGGCCAACTGCTGGCAGCACAGGCTGCTTCGTTGTTTTCATAAAATATGTACATTTAACTTATTATGTCTGTCACCCAGGCAGCAATGAGCTGATCACTTTAACTCTAAATTATGACGTTACCCTTAACCTCTAAACAAAATTACTAAAGACGACTAAGGATGTTATAAGATGGTGATATCTGAAATCTATATTTTTATCTGTGAGGAGCAGAAGTAGCTCCAGCTGGGATTAGGATCCTCTTCATCCTCATTTCATGTCAGATTTATTTCTTAGAGCTTGAGCAGCCAGTGTGCAGCTGATCTGCTGTTACAGTATCGTGTCATCGACTGCTCCTTCCCTTTCAGAGAAGTATTTTTTGGTGCAAACGGAAATGAAGGAACTTAGATCCAGAGCCATCGGGGGGGAAACCTCGGATTTCATCGCAGTGGTACCACACAGCCTGATTCTTCTATGAAGAAGAAATAGATGAAGGAAAGAAATATATATTGATTTTGACTGAATACTGTGCTTTGTAATCCTGAAGGGGCATAACTATTTTCACTGTGAGGTTTTTATGATACAACAAAAACTGCTTTCTTGCCAAACATAACCGCTTTGAAGCATGTCTGATTGTGGTATCCTGTTTTCATTTCTGTTTGTTTTAACGTAGGGTATTTTGTATCACTTCTGTATCCATCATTTGTATATTCTTAATGTTGTTGTTATTATTATTATTATTATTATTATTATTATTATGATGATGATTCTGATTAATTATTATGCTTATTATGATGATTCCATTCCAGTGAAAAAGGATCAAAGACCAGCACGCTTTCTTGTAAAATGCCAGTTGTTAAAAGCTCAAGCTCACTGGTACCAACTGATCAACTGCAGCCAATGAATTCTGCTGTTCAACTCTGATGTACAATACAGTATTTCAGCTGGCGATAGGTGTGATCATGTATAGTAAGTAATAACCATTAGCTGCCTTTGCAGCAGAGCCCGAGGGGTGTATGCTCACATAAGCATAGCAGTAAACACACACATATACAGATGATTCACTGTGCTTTTTTTATTTATGCCACTACTGCAGTATTGTAAATCTCAGTCAGGCTTTAAGGTGACCTCTCCCTCCCACACATTCACTTCTCAGTAGTAACAAATGACATCTCTGGTGTTACACCATGTGAAACGGATAGAATTAATAAACTCACACATATATTTCCTGTATTATTTCCCCCCGACTCAGTGGAAGTACTAATAGCTGAGTTTGATTGCCTTAAGTTAAACTAAATGAATCATAGAATAACACTGAACAGGAACAGTGCCTGCTTGCCCTGTCTGGACTGCTGATGTTTGGATGGAGAGAAAGGGATAAGGGCTCGTTGAGAATAATTCCCAGTGAACATCGTCGCAACAGTCTCGGTTTCTTCGGCTTAAACTTCTCTAATCGGGAGAATCAGCTCTGATTTAGCTCTTCCGCCACACTCAACACTGGCAACCAACAGTTGATCATGTTTGTACCAAAGCCAGCTCACGCAGCCTTGTGCTATTGGTACCCTCCCATGCGATGATATTAGGCCTCGGGGCGTGGTGGGAGCACCAGAGGACAGTAATGTAATGGAGATCACCAACTATCAAGTGAACTGTGACCAATGAAGAGTGATTCATATAAGCAAAGGGTTTATAGAACGGACATGAGTTTATAAAAATGTGCATTGTATGTATTCTATTTCTATTGGCTGTCCATAGACTTGTGTTGATTGTTAACTCTTGGGATGTTTCGGGGGGAACAGGAGAGGGGAGGAGGGTTGTCCCCCATACTACTGAAACAGTGTTTTGCTCAGGCCTGATGAATCCTTCCGTATTTGTTTTTGTTTTATTTGTATTTTCCCTGAGTTGGAGGAGTTGAAAGGGGAGTGTTTTGCAAAGCTGAAGGACAAGAAGAGTTGAGGACTATGACAAAGAGAAAAATAACATTTCCCCTTGAAGAAAAAAATAAAAAAAATCAATGGCTGTTTTGTGTGTTCATATATTCATTAATGTTGTTAGATGTACTGCTGATATGTTTTTATAGGAACAGGCCCATCATAAATAACGCAATAACTTTATTACTCATATTTACAGGACAAGTTAGTGGTTTACCTCCTAATATAAACGTACTTAAAGGAACAGTGTATAAAATTTAGGAGGACATTTAGTGACATCTAGCGGTGAGGATTGCAGATTGCAACCAGCTGAAACTTGTCCCATGTGCCAAGCGTGAACTCCTGGTCAGGATTCCTTCAGTGTTAATTATTCAGGTTTTTACCGGGAGCCGAATTACTTGCTGAGGTCTCTTCCTCTACAAAGCAAACCGACCAGGTGATTTCAACAGGTAAAAATGCTGAATGAAGCAGTTTCATGTTACAAAATCAGCATTACACAAATGCTGTTTGGCACATGTCATAGGGGCCATTTGCCCAGCACCTGGTCTTGTGTGCTAACTACTTTCTCTGATAACTTGGTGTGTGCTCTGCTTTTTGTTGATCCAGACATTCAGGAGGTTTTTACCAGGAGCCAAATTATCCAAATAGGTCTTGTGCTCCCCAAAACAAACAAGCAAGGTTAATAAAATCAGTAAAGACACAGAATAAAGCAGTTTCATGAATGAATGGGAAATGGTCCTATCTACAGACAGTGTTTGGTTTGTCTGTTCTGGGCTACAGTAGAAACATGGTGGTGCAACATGGCCATTTCTGTGGACAAGGACCTGCTCCCTATGTTGATAGATACGACCCATTTCTAAAGTAACAGAAACACGATTCTTATTTTCAGGAGATACGAACTAATAAAAAGCATACTTTGATTCAATTTCAGCAAATATATCCCTGGAAATCCTGCACACTGGACCTTTAGGAATCATCCGGTTACTCAAGATAATCCACAGACCTTGTTGTCAGCAGTACATGTAGCAATCTTCTTTCAACCAAACTACACCCACCAACTGAATCACTGCACAGAAGGAAGCTTCTGCTAAGCTGTAACATTAGCTAGCACAGTGGTGCTAGGTGAGCTAGCAGTTGTTGCACACTTCCTTCTGCGCAGTGCTTCAGTTGGTGGGTGTATTTCGGTAGATAGAAAATAGTTCCAACAGAAACTGCTCACAACAAGGTCTGTGGATTATCTTGAGTAACGGGGTTGAGATTTCTGGAAAAAAGAGTTTGAGCTTTGAGCACCCCAGGCTGAGTGCTGCCTTCTGTTATATCCAAGAGAAGGCAGACATCTCTACGGCAAATATCTCCAGCACTTGGCAACTCACACCAAAACAATTCAGACTGATAAATAGTGCTACAGGTAAGAGGAAACAACTGTAGTTTTGATTTGGGGGTGAACTGTCCCTTTAATAATTATATCATTATACTGAATATCCAGTGACCCTGTAAACAAATGTATTCTTCAAGTTAGATGACAGTAATTGTAAGAAACATAAGATTCCCTGTTCACTAGTCTCCAGTTTTACTGCAAAAGAAACAGACCTCATAATAACATGTACGTGTTTTTTGGCAGGGTCACCACCTTGTTTGGACTTATGGAGGGTTGGACTACATGCCACATTAATGGACCACCAACACAAGGATGCTGTCACTGGTGGAAGTCCCCTGAGACCAAACCAAATCAATGGTGTTCAACTGCAGAGCTGCAGGACCAGCAGTACCACAGATATACATGTGTCACTTTGCACCATCTACAGGCAAGTTATGGTAAGTAACAGCCTTTGGTGTTTGACACACTAATCTGACATTTCTGTTGTTCTGAATGAAGCCTATGAAGTACTTTTTGGGACATTTTATGCCTTTTGAAGGGTGAGGGTTAGTATTCAAATCCAGCTTGATCACCTTTGACTTCTTGTGTTACCTTGATGACGTGAGAAAACGAGCCTGTGTTCTTAATGACCTCCTCAGAATTCATTCCTTCTGCACTGAAATATCAGTGGCAGATTTCTTCAGGAAGAATTATGTAACATTGTTTTTGCTGCTGAGTGATGAAATGTTCCTGAACAGCTCAACGTTTCTCGATTCCTGTGTGAGCAACCATCTGCAAACAGTGTTATGTTTCCTAATTTAGAAAATCAGGACACCTGCTGTGACTCTAGTAAAGACCTCCTCATGGCCCAGTTACTAAACTCTGTTTTCAACTAATCACATGCAGACCAGTATCATCCAAAATTCAGACGTAATTATTTTTACTTCCTCTAGAGGGCACTAGGATCTCACTCTCTCTATGAACCAGTCCATTAGTGCCTTTGAACCTGCAGAAGAGAGGTGGTACGATGACTTTTTATCTTATGATGCAAAATATAAATGCAGAAATCAGTTTTGAATTTTTTGGGGAATTTTTTTTTTTGCTTGTTTAATACAGACATTTTTATCCCATTCAGCAGCCGTAGAGATATGTGTAACGTTTCCACATTTAAATGTCTTAAAGTGATTACACCTGTGTTCTATATTTTGTTGAGTTGTGCAATCACATTTTCCCAAAAGTATCCAACAACAATCAAACCCAGAGAAATCAAGGACACGATCTAATTGTGTGTAATTGTTGCTATCGCCTGACAGTGGCATCATATCCCCTCTGTGCATGCACATGAAGCTGTCATACATTGAGTTTTTAACCAGTTTAGAACCAAAATTTTACAATACGCTTCTTATATCTTGATCATTTATAACTATATACATTGTACACATGAATGATTTTAGTTATCAGATGTCTGGATCTGAAATTATCAGAGAAACAAGCACAGATTTTTAACACGAAACTGCTTTATTTTGTGTTTTTACCTGTTTAAATCACCTGGTCTGTTTGTTTTGGAGAGGAAGAGACCTCTGCTGATAATTCAGCTCTTGGTAAAAATCTCCTGAACACTGAACACTGAAGAAATCCTAACTGAGAGAAACTAACTGCAATGAAGTTATTCCTCTGTTTGTTATTGTTTTGGCTGAGAGACCCCTAACGACAGAAAATATTGTACATTTAAATGTTTTGTATATTGACACCTTCAGACTTCCTTTATAAAAGTTGTGAGCTAAAGAGGTTGAAACCTATATTTCCAGAGAAACTACCATAAAAAACTACATTAAAAAAAAACATTAGTGAGAGGCAAAAAGTGGATCTACTGTCAGTTTAATCTCATCAGAAGTGGTGCTGCCTCTGGTGTGTGTGTGTGTGTGTGTGTGTGTGTGTGTGTGTGTGTGTGTGTGTGTGTGTGTGATAACTGAAGACAAAGGGCTGTTGGTCAGAACAGGCTGAACTCTGGGTCTGTCGCTGACATTTTTTCAACAAACCTGTGAAAGCAACAGTTGGATTAAGCTCACAGAGATCTATTATAAAAAAAATACAATATTGAATATGGAGGTTTTGCCTACTTTGTCATCTCACTGTTCTTTTGGGGAAACCGTTTGGCTTGGGTCCATGGTTCAGGACTCCTGGACGTCACCCATCCGTACTGCTGGTTGTCTGTCAGAGGCATTATGTACAGCTGGTCAGGGGCTAGAGAAGAGAGGAGACAGACACCTATCACCAGGAGTACATCCGTGATTTGGATCCAATACAGTCCATCAGACCCTTAATGTGTAGTTTTTCCATGTCTACTTACATCTGGGTGTTTGAACCCGTTTGACCATCTCTTTGTATCGCTCATGACTCCCATGGTGTATGTCAGTGCTGCAGGGAAAAGGCTGGTAGTAAACGTTGCATGTGTCAGTACATCTGAGGGATCCCTGTTGTTCTTGAAGAGATGATCCCGCTCTGTTGCTCATCCCACCGTCTGTAAAGCAATATGTTACTTCAGTATAAAAAGATCATTATTTTGATTATTTTAATAAATCTGTGGCTATTACAAAAGATACAAGAAACTAATTTTAAAACTTGTGTGCTAGTAATTTACCATGCTTGAGATTTTATAAAAATACTACTAAAATACTGTATTTTTTATACAGTATTAAGGCCCTAAAAGACATGCATTTGAACACAACATCCTAATATTGGATGGGTTTATGTATGGTAACACCAAATACAGAAAGGTTTTGTGCATTGGAATAGTTGCAGAAGTTCATTAAAGTTATATGGATTCAGCTGGATTATTTCCTCTCCCTTTAAAGCTCCACTATATGATGACTCTTGTGATTGTTTTTATGAACTTGTTTTCTTGCCCTACACATGTAGCTCTTGTATTTATTCGTGGAAGAAGTATCCGTATCTTTTACTGAAGCAGAAATACAAAAGTCTTGGTAAAAGATCAGGATCCGGGTACAGATCCAGGGTTTTCTCCTTAAGTTTGACACTTAAGGCTCTTTAGCTGAGGGACCTACACAGTTGCGCAGAATCCCTTAAAAGATTTCCTATGTTAAGGAAATCAAGGAGATCGTTTGATTGTTTACAGTCGTTACAAAGTTGGCTTATAGTTAGAGAAAAAATGGTGGAAGAAAAGAAGACAAGAAAACCATATTGGTCAAAGGAGGAAAAGATTATACTTCTGGAGGAATACAATCATAGAAATCACAAACTACAAAGTAAATTTGATCCCCAAATACTAGAAAACAGAAAACGATTGTAGGAAGAAATTGCAACAAAAATTAATTCAGTCAAATCTAAAGTGTAAAATCAAAAGCGTATTCACTGGGTTGTCCTGGACGCAGAACACTTTTCTCTGGGTGTGTTTAGTTTTTCCATTTATCACCATAAACTTGGTCATGTTGCAGTTAAGATAGAGTCAGGGGTACCTAAGTTTTATTTTACCTTGCTTTGGCTGCTACAGTCTTGTCTAAATATTTTAGTGAATACTGTCAGGAAACCTTAAGGGGAAGCCTTAGGTGTGTTTTGTGCAACCAATTTTATTTTGAGGAAACCTTAACTAGGACTTAAAGGAAAATCTTAACAGAAGGTGTTTTGTGCAGCTCGTCCCAGGTCTTTTTCTCTATCCATGAAGAGGAGTTCATCCAGATACCAGAGAAGGAGGAAAGCCAGCAAGTCCATGCACTGATATCATGTTATTGGATTTTATGCAGTGATGCATATGTCTACATCACTTAAATGTGGCAGCTAGTAAAGGTGGGGGCTACTTATAATTAGCCTTAAATACTGCTGGGTAGTTTAATTTTATTTGTATATCATAATTTATTTTTTGTAAAGCTGCAAAGTAATTAGTTACTACAAGTATCAAATAAATGCAGTGGAGTAACAAGTACAATATTTGCAGTGGAGTACGCACAGGGTGACATACAATTGAAATACTCCTCAAAATTGTACAGTAACGTTAACTACTCCAGTAAATATACTTTTCTGAGTCGACCACTGCTTTTCATGCTGCTTGCTCTCTTGAAAAAGATATTAAGACTAAATAAAGTTAAATATTACAAGGTTAATTTTATTTGAGGTGTTCACATGTTGTAAAGGTCCATCCAGGGCAACTAACAGCAACTTGCTAGCTCATATTAGCAAACATTAACTAGCTGGACTGTCCTGTTTAGGCTACTAGTTAACGTTAGCTACATGTAGCTTGGTATTATTAAAACCTGCAGACTTTTGAGGGATTGAATAAGTGTTCCTGTCAGCTATCAACAAGCTAAATGCTCTTTTTTTCACTGTGGGTGTAGCTAAAGGTTAGCAAGGTGAAATATAAGTTAACCGACAAACGGTCAGTGACGAGCTAAGGGAGAGTCCAGCTCCTCTTACCCCGGGGATGAGACGCTGCTCTGGGACTCACTCTCAGTTTATCGCCCACTGGGTTCTGATAGCCCAGGTGTGTTAAACCGAAGAAGGCCATGGTGCCGGAGATCCGATAAACGAGATTATAACAGTCGAGACAGAGACAGACACACCAGAAACAGTGAGACAGACAGCCTGTAAATAAATCACAACTTTTGGTTTAGGTGTAACCGTGGCAACAAGCCCCGCCCACCGCGGTGTCTCGAGGGAACTGTTGAAAACTCAAGACAAACCAACTTATTTATATATTTAAATATATTTATTTTAATGTAATGTAATTTAATTTATTTTTATTTTACTTTATTTTAATTTGTTTGTTTTATTTTATTTTATTTTGTTGTATTTTATTTTATTCTATTTATCAGTGTATAACAGTTTCAATACAATGCATGTAGTGGTCAATACATTCATGACCAAAAATTACAAATTAAACTAATGTGACAAACAAGAACAAACTTCATAGATGTTATCATACAAGACCAGACAATAAATAAATGAATGAATGAATAAATAAATAAATAAATAAATAAATAAAATACACACGAGTATACACACACACATACACACACACACACATTTTATTTATTTATTTTTTACTTTATGACAAACAAATCAAGGCACATTTTCAAGTCCTGCTCATCAAATACAAAATGATGAAAATAAAACAACAAATGAAAAATACAAAAATAAAATATATACTAATAAAAGAAAAACAGGGCACCATCAAACCATTTAATTAAACTGAAATTAAAAAAAAACACATTTAATGTTTTTAAACCATACAGAGCAAAAGATATAGTCAATCCAAAGTGGGGTTTTTTCCCAGCTTACACTACCATTACTATAGCAACCCAATCAAACGTGACAGCTTATGCTATCGCTGATTTTACTTACAGTATCTCACATAAGTGAGTACATCCCTCCCATTTTTGGAAATATTTTATTATATCTTTTCATGGGACAACACCATAGAAATGACACTTTGATATAACTTAAAGTAGTCAGTGTACAGCTTGTATAGTAGTATAGATTTACCTTCCTCTGAAAATTACTCAAAACACAGCCATCAACATCTAAACAGCTGGCAACATAAGTGAATACACCCTACAGTGAACATGTCCAAATTGTGCCTAAAGTGTCAATATTTTATGTGCCAACCATTATTATCTAGCACTGCCTTAACCCTTTTGGGCATGGAATTCACCAGAGCTCACAGGTTGCTTCAGGACTCCTCTGCCACAGCAGGTGGATGTGAAGACACCTTGCACTCCTCCACCTTCAGCATGAGGACACCCCACAGGTGCACAGGTGAGTTTAGGGCTGGATACATACTTGGCCAGTCCATCACCTTCACCTTCAGCTTCCTCAGTAAGGCAGTTGTCATCTACTAGGTGTGTTTTGAGTCATTGTCATGTTGGAAAACTTGATAATGAAAACAGTGGACAGTTGTCTTGGTGCTCTTTCAGCATGTGTGGCACCTTGGTGAAGAGCACCAAGACAACTGTCCCTTGCTTACAGTCAAGTATAGTGGTGGCAGCATCATGGTTTGGGGCTGCATGAGTGCTGCCGGCTCTGGGGAGCTCGGTTCATTTAGGAAAACATGAATTCCAAGCAGAGCATGATCGCCCCTCTTCGGAAACTGAGCCGCAATGCAGTTTTCCAACATGATAATGACCCAGAACACACCTAGAAGATGACAACTGCCCTGCTGAGGAAGCTGAAGGTGAAGGTCATGGACTGGCCAAGTATGTATCCAGCCCTAAACTCACCTGTGCACCTGTGGGGCATCCTCAAGCTGAAGGTGGAGGAGCGCAAGGTGTCTTCACATCCATCTGCTCCATGATGTCATCATGGAGGAGTGGGAGAGGATTCCTGAAGCAACCTGTGAGCTCTGGTGAATTCCATGCCCAAAAGGGTTAAGGCAGTGCTAGATAATAATGGTTGGCACACAAAATATTGACACTTTAGGCACAATTTGGACATGTTCACTGTGGGGTGTACTCACTTATGTTGCCAGCTGTTTAGATGTTGATGGCTGTGTTTTGAGTAATTTTCAGAGGAAGGTAAATCTATACTACTATACAAGCTGTACACTGACTACTTTAAGTTATATCAAAGTGTCATTTCTATAGTGTTGTCCCATAAAAAGATATAATGAATTATTTGCAAAAATGGGAGAGGTGTATGTCATGGCTGCCACTTGGAAATCTTACCCTTAATGTGAATAATTAATGTGATGTGTAATGCGATGTAGCCTGGCCGGTTTATTACAGCTGAGGATTGAGTTCACAAGCTGGTTTGAACAGTTAAGGACACCAACATGGCTGTAGCTACAGGTTAAAGCAACATTATGCAAAAAAAAAGAAAAGCTCCTGCCTTGGGTTGAGGAATCAGTTGGTTGTTTCAAACAGGTGTCTGTTGATGAAAATGATGATATAGTGCCTGAAATGGGTAACAGTGTTGTCTTTTTCTGAGGGATCAGCACAAAGTTAAAGTAAATGATGGAAAGGGACAATTAAGAAACAATCAGAGGGCCTGTAATCACTACATTTGACTATTAACCTCCGAGTTACACCCCTGGCTGTGAAGACTATTTTTACTGACAGACAAATGTCGCTCCTTTCAAGTCTGTATGCTTTCTGTTTTATAAGGGTTACATTCAGGAATATTTTTGTATGGGGTTTCTGGACTTCCTGATCAGTGGTGCACAGCTACGCTAACTTCTCTTACAACAGTTGTTCCCAACCTAATCGTCAGTTGTCTTCTGTTACACATAATGATTTCTATTTTCCAGATTTTTCTCCAAATTTTTGTTCTTTTCTTGTTAAAATACACAATACTTTCAGCCTCTCAGGACTATATATTCTCCAAATGCAACAATCTGACAGGGAAGCCAGTAAGGCTGAGAGTCACTGTGTTAGCTGAACATGATAAACTACAATAAAGGTGAAATTAGGGTCATGTGATCAGGTATTATTTTACCCCCTCTTAAAAAACACAATGTGTTTTCTTTGACACTGTAGTATTTTAAGTACATATTCTAGCAAGAAGTACAGCCCAGCCTTGACTTGTGTATACATGCAACCCCTCGTATCTCCTGAATGCTGCTGATTGAAGGGGGAAGCAGCAACTGAGCAAACGTGGATCTTCACCAGACAGGTACAACATATATTTCCACATCAACTCAAACCCTGCAGCAACTCATGTTACAACACCGCCCCAGCTGCACACGGAAATACATTTCCATTTCCTCATTCTTGTCACTGTACCTCTAAGTTTGCTTTACAGAAGATGTGTATCATAGAGTTTATGTTGTTCATCTCTGACAAACCATCTGTGTCTGTCGTCATCAGAAGAAAACAGAAGGAAATGTGCCTGCAAATCCACAAAAGCTTTATCTGACTCTAGTCAAGATTTTGTATATGTTGACTTTAGATCATTACAAATCTATCTCAGTACAATTCTCACCTGCCCTTAAGTACATTCAAAGAGTTATTGGTCCTTGTAACTGTTCCCCCTGTCCATACTAGTTGTGAAGGAATCCCTCCTAACGTCCCTCTGCTGCAACTGCCAAAAGAACCTCTGTCTAAACACAAAGAAGGGATTTTGTCACTTTATGTAAAACACCCTCAGGGTCTGATTAGCTCAGATTACCGAGGCCTCATATTAGTGTCAGCTGAACTTGAATAGGCATTTTTACACAGAATGGATGAGTCACACTAAGAGGGCATCACTTTACAGTCAGTATCAACAGGAGGAATCATTACAGCGCCCTATAACTCTTGCTTTCAGTGTACATTTGAGGCTGTAGGTATACAGTTTTTCAAACCAACAAAGATTCTACCACTACTACCTGTAGAGTGCTGCAGAAATGAATCCTAAAAAGAGATGAGCTTTAGCATTCCAGGTTCCCTCATCCCAGTGTCAGGAGTTTTTTTGAATGGGTTTGGTTGGATGCCTAAAATAAGGTCTGTGGTTGACACATGCTTAAGAGACTTTCTCTTTTTCTACTATGACATAAAATACATCAGTAAATGCCCCACACATGAATTCAGAAGCTTTTGTGTGTCTTAAAAAAGGGAGTTGCTAACAAGTGGCTAAATGAGACTACAGGATGACATCAAGCTGAACAGGTGGTCATGAAGTCATGTGACCAGTGTAGACTGTTTATAACCTGATGTTAGCTTTTAACTTCTGGCAATTGCATCAATGTTTCAAAAATCATAAAAGAGGTTTTTTATTTGTCATGAATATCTTGCTGAGCAAAACATGTAAGTATCAGAAACTTTTGTTTGCCACAGAAGTTATTTTCTGCATTAACCAAATTTTCGTGGAGGGAACCAGGGCAATGCTAACTTCCGTGTTAGCCTACAAATAAAAATCAACCCTGCTGCACTTCATATCCTGCATAAACAAAGCCTGATATATCATGTTCCTCTGTGTCATAGAGCTCCATCCATCAATCAAAACATATAAAAAGGAAACATCTGTGAATTGCAATTTGTTGGTCTTTTTAATCTTTATCCTCCTGAGACCCAAACTTTTTTTTTTGGTATGCATTTTTTATTTCTCCTCGCTATTTGAGATCAGTAGGATCCGATAAGTATAAAAACCTAAACACTGTCAACAGTAATAAAGTCCCAGTGTCTTCAAACGAGTACTTACTAATTAAGTGTCTTAGCTTCTTACTGTTGCTATAATTAATCAAATTTGCCGCCATATCAAACTACAAACATTATTAATCACAAATAAACAAGTTTCAACAATAAAATGTGATCAGCTTTTGGACCTTGTCCACTTTTGTGTCGGGATCAGCTGCAGACACAACTAATGGCACATCAAGTGTCCACGAACAACGACAACAGGTCTAAGTTAAAGGATAACTTCAGTATTTTTCAACCTGGGCTCTATTTCCCCATGTGTATGTGTGCATATGATTCATAGATACAACTCGTTTTAAAATTGGCTCAGGGGGCGTCAGTGGCTTAGTGGTAGAGCAGGCGCCCCATGTACAAGTCTGTTGCCACAGCGGCCCGGGTTCAACTCCAGCCTGTGGCCCTTTGCTGCATGTCACTTCCTCTCTCTCTCTCTCTCCCCCTTTCACACTTGTCTGTCCTATCATTAAAGGCTGAAAATGCC